CTTGGTAGAGTGTCGTGGCGTCTTAGCTTATAGCAGTCTCAAACTCTTGGGTTCAAGTGATCCTCTTGCCTCAGCCTTCTAAGTAGCTGGGACTATAGATAGGTACCCACCACAATGCCTGGCTATTGTTTTAGGGACAGGGGTCTTGCTGTGGCTCGGGCTGTTTTCGTACCTGTGAGCTCAGGCAATCCACCCACCTCTGCCTCCCAAGTACTGGGATTACAGGCGTGAGCCGCTCAGCCAAAGTTTTACTTTTTTGTTTGTTTGTTTGTTTGAGATTGAGTCTCACTTTGTTGCCCTTGGTAGAGAGCCATAGCCTTACAGCTTATAGCAACCTCAGTCTCTTGGGCTCAAGCGGTTCTCTTGCCTCAGCTTCCTGGATAGCTGGGACTACAGGCGCCCTCCGGGGTCTCGTTCTAGCCCAGGTTGGTCTCAAACTCCTGCGCTTAGGTGATCTGCTCGCCTCGGGCCTTCTAGAATGCTGGGATTATAGGCTTGAGCCACTCTGCCTGGCCCAGGGTAGATTTCTGTTTCTAGCCAAGTGCAGTGCCAGGAACACCTGATGGCTAATGATGTTGTGTGTCTCTTTGTGTGTGCCAGTTTAGCTGTTGGAGTTTCTTCTTTGGACAAAGATCTTTTACCTATTTTAGAAATTAGATACGTTGTCTTCTTTCCTCTTTTCTTACCTTATACTTGTGGCAAGTTTTACTCTCAAACTTTACTCATTAGGCCAGAGACCCTGTGGAAAGTTTTTTTGGAAAACTTGCCCCTCAGGTAACACATGAGATTAGTGTTCTTTTATAGTTAAGCTGTGTTTTTCTTTTTGGAGATGTTGGAGAGCCTGCCCTCCTCTAGCCTTTGTTGTAATAGTCATGCATCCTTCCAAGACCCTTCCATCTAGGGTCAGTAATCATCACAAGACAGACAGACGACACTGTGCCTGAAGTAGCGTGGCCATAGTTGCTTGGACGCTTCTGTTTTCTTGCCTCTGTCTCTTTAAACTTAAACATTCACGTTGAGTTCAGCTCCTCAGTGTTCTTATCAGATAGTCTCTAACCCACTGGTCTGTTTGTCTTGCAGTTTCATGGTGATGATATGGCATCTGCCAGCTCCAGCCGGGCAGGAGTGGCCCTGCCTTTCGAGAAGTCTCAGCTTACTCTGAAAGGTGAGTGGCACTGTGTGAGTTGTTTACCATATCTGTGGGGAAGAGGGTGGAATTATGCCATACCTTGGTCCGGAGAGCTGAATTTTGTAAAATAGCTTAGCAGTGTAGCTATTCATTCTCATCCGATTGTCATGTTGTAGCTGGCACGCTTGAAGAAGAAAGAAAGTAGCTTGAAGGAAAAAAGGATCTTAGGGCTAAAATTGTTTAAAATGGTGATTTCTTGATGCCTGAAGGCTCTTTTCTATCTTCCCTTATTCCCTAGGTGGTCTCACCTAACCCTGTGGCTTTGTTTTATTTATTTATTTTAGACAGTCTCATTTTGTCATCCTTGGTAGAGTGCTGTGGCATCATAGCTCACAACCGCAAACTCTTGGGCTCAAGCAATCCTCTTGCTTTGGTTTTTCATTTTCAGTAGAGACGGGGTCTCACTCTTACTCAAGCTGGTCTTGAACTCCTGAGCTCAAGCAATCCACCTGCTTTGGCCTCTGAGAGTGCTGGGATTACAGGCATGAGCCACTGTGCCCAGCCAACCCTGTGGCTTTAAATGTTACCAATATAAGGTCATTCCCTCCAGGCCTTTCCTCTGAACTCCTGATTCTTATATCCAATAACCAATTTGTTATTTCCTCTTGAATGTTACTACATATCTAATTTAAGATGTCTATAACTGAACTCCTGATTTTTCTTTCTCATATCCTGTATTTAACCTAGCAGCAAATCTGATTGGCTCTGTCTTCAAAACACATCCAACTCTGCCATTTTTTTTTTTTTTTTTTTTTTTT